TTTAATATTGTCTTGTCACACTTTATTGCTTCTGCTCCACATTCCCTTGAAGTCCCAAGGTCATTACATAACCCTTATATATTTCAAAATTCAGATCTTGTCTCCCCACTCTGTGGAAGAATGAACATCCACAACTCATTGAAGTTTTGACTTTAAAGCATAAAGGGAAATATTTATGTCCAAAATACTCTGTTTTGTGTATGCATTACAGGGAAATAGAACTCATCTTGGCATCTTTTTACCCCTTTGCCTCAAACTTGTTGTAGCATTTTTCGTATAGCAATTGAACAAACCTCACTTTCAACACTAAAAGGCTCGTAGAAACGTATGAATTCAAATATATTTCTTTCTGTCCTGTCAGTTATCACCAAATAAGATGGTCTTCAATACAGATTACTTTGCTTTTATTTGCCCTCCTATTCAGTTTAATCACAGAGTGCCTTTTGTTGCTCAAAGATTACACTTCATAACAATTTTAGAACTAAGATGTGCAGTGGTCATGGATTGGGTGAGACAAACAGCAGTGCAATTTGACAAAACAAATATGGGACCACCAGATTAACTACATTCCATTTGTAAATTTTAAGTCTGGTTTCATTCTAATTGGGTGGGGTATTATCCCCAACCACAGATTTAAAAAAAAAATAAATTCACAGCAATACATTGACATGTACCTGTCTATATATTTGAGAAAGATCAGCTGGATGATACAAAAATGTAGTTCAATGCATAAATAGATCAGATAGCATCTGTCTCTAGATTGTTCTCTGTGATGCATAGGGGATTTTTTTAACCTTCTGGGAACTGAGTGTAGAGGATTTCAGCTTTTGCATTAAAGCCATTTTCGGTTGAGGAGTCTTCATTCATTGCCCACTCTAAAGGGACTTGCCACAGATGTCTCTTTATAAGGTTTGTGGCTGGCTTTCCTGTCCCATCCTTATCTCATTTTGATTAACAAATGTCCTTATTTGTTGGCAGTGACTGCAACAAGGCAAGAAAACATGTGAACATGACCAGCATTAAGATGATTTCAATTGTACAACTTTCATTACCACCTTAACTTGGAATAGAACTGTGTGACAGTATGTTACTGATTAAGAACAAAATGTTCTTACTCTGTTGGAAAAGGTCACTATTGATAATGTGAATGAATCATCTGTAAGAACTTCTTTCTAGTCATAAATGACCACAAGCTGTCTAATGAAACTGTGTTAATGTCTAAAAACTGTCAGAGAAATTTAGGTGAAGGTGATGATGACAGCCAACCTTGTTAAATAAGACGTATGCATCATTTTTAATGATGAGGTCCACAAGAAAGGTGTCATGTGTATGTGTGCACAGTCCAGCCGATGAGGGCTAAGATGTGAAACCATTTGTGCAGTTAAAGCAGAAAAAGTGTTATGTTGTTGGATAAGATTGAGTTGGAAGTGTACTGAGGCCCATATTATGCATTGCTAATTCACTGCTTTGAATCAATCAGATAATATGCCTCCCAAGATAAAAAAAATAGTTTAGCCTCAAAAAACGAGTAAAGTAGTAAAGTATCAAATCTGTATCTCATATTTTATTCATTGTACTTTAGAGACAAAAGCCCTGGGCTAGGGCTGATGCATTACATGCACACACACACATACACACACACACAAACACACGTATAAATCTCTCTATATCTAATCTCTATAGTATCCTGCTGCTATTAGCTTGTTTTCTTTTTCTCCTTGTTCTTTTCCCTAGGTCAGACCTCTCATTTTGTGTAGTGACATCCAGAATGTTTCTTTGGCTCTCAGTTGACCTGTTGCTGTCGCTGAATCAATGAGGAGTCAGTGTTTGGTATTGGTAGAGTGCTCTTCTGGAAGGCCTCCAGCATCTTTTGCTTTCAAGAAGTTTGATAATGTTCACTAGCCATCACTGTTAGACTCAAAGTTTCTTTCTGACAAGCTGCTTTTTTTTTACCATCCTGTTTTATTACGGGAATAATTAAATGATTTATCATATTATGCTTTGAGTGTTTAATCCAGAAATCTGAAACACAATCTTTAACAATATGGTAAAAAAAATTATTCACAAGGAATATCAATAGAAATAATATTTGATTTCTATTTCTATTAGAATTAGCTTTTCAATGTCTCAGTTTCTTTGCAGTTCAGTGTATTTTTTCTGTTAGCTCTCTTCACAAATGATTTCAGCAGAATATTTCACAGTAGGCTAATTAATTGACTTGAGTCTCTGGTTCCCTCACAAAATACACAATGACAAAATATAAAATTGTGGATTTGGGGACACTAGGACTAAGAACCGAACAGAGCTTTACCTGGTGTACATGGAGGCTGTCCGCAGAGGGACACATAGCATGCTGTTCTTCTTAAGAAAGCAGTTCATCTCTGAGGTATGATGTTGTATATCTTGTATAAATCTTTGGTGGTGGGTACAATCGGCTTTGCAGCCCTCTGTTAGGGCAGCAGTATCAGAGCCTGTGAATCAAACGAATTTAACACAGTGATAAAGAAAACCGGGGGCTGCTCTGAAGCCACTGGAGCAAAGAGTAACAGTGAACCAAAAATAGGCTACAGGTGTTGTGCTTTCTGCATAAAAGCACAGAATAATAGTTTAATTGCTCTTTAAATGTATGTGCATCAAAATTCTACTTACACACAGTTTCTTTTGTTTAATGTTGGAAGTTCAGTCTGCCCTGTGTGTCTTTGAAGCATTGTGTTAATGGATAGGTTACATTATGCACGCACTGTTGTTTTTACTCTTTAGTGTAGCTGATAAAAAAGACTTCACTTCAGATGCCCAAAGGTGCAGTTCAGACTACTGGACAAATCATTTGATTCTTGCTTTAAAACAATCAAGAAGCAGAGTCTTGCACAACACACTCAGGAGGACTCTTTTTTTCTCTTTAAAATCAAAGTGCTAATAAGATTTGAGAATTTCCATTTTTATCTCATGATATGGCATTAATAAAGTTCTACAGAATGCAGAAAAAAAAAGAAATGTATTTCTTTCCAACTGTTTCATCATGGACGGGAATAATTACACTTATATTTAAAAAGATAGAGGATTTGAAATCTTGTTCACAAAAGGCAAAGTAGCTTTAGACGCACCACAGATTCCCAGTGTGAAACATAGAAACTGCAAACTCTAACAGTTCACATAGCTGGGGGGACATGTCCCTGCCTCCCATGTGTGTGACACCTCAGTCTGTAACCCTCACACATCCTTTCCTGTGTTAACAGTTCAAGAGTGTATCCTCACAAATAAGTTCAGAGAAGCATTAGCCGGTCCTTTTCTGAACATTTATTGACTTGAAAACACTGTAATGCTCAGAATGCTGATCCTGGGGGTCACTGATGCTAAAACAGCTTTGCTTTGCAACCGCTGTGTATCCCAAACTGCATACCGTCACTCGTATAACCAAACCTCTTTAGTCTGTTGATTTTTTTGGCTTTCTTAGTGGTCCTAAAATAATGACCTGTTTCACGGAGAGAAATTGATCCACTTACAGGAGGTGAGTCTGGAAATGAATGGAGATGTAGAGCCATTTGTCTTTTGAAAACTCTTTGGGTTTGTGGCTGAAAGGGAACCAAGAGTCCAAGAGTGTAGATGTAAGACACAGGGTCATATTGGAAAAAAAAGCCCTCACAGTTTCATGCAGAAACCCATAGAGACAGACTGGTTTTCCGGATCGATTGGAGTCTTTCACAGTGTGGATCAAAGGTCCCCATTTACCTCTTAAAACACTCAGACCTGACAGTGGTGTTAACAGCATTTTCTATCTCAGCTGGAGAGCACTCTATTCATCCTCTTGACCTTAGCATGTTGTGTGCAAAACCTCAAACCATCATGTCCAAAGCATTACTCTTTTGTGTAAATTGTTAAAAGAAGCATGGTGAAACATAAATGTTGAAGTTTATACACATATGGTGGGAAAATCTGACTTGTAGAAAGAAAAGCTTTGTCAAAAATCTTATTGGTGAGAATTTATGTTGTTATCTTTAAACCTCTGTAACTCTTCAAATTCTTTGCTTTGGTCAACATTATTTGCCGATTTTTATGTTTATGGTCTTTGTTTTTTGCCTCTTCGGTTGTATTTATTTTGTATCTTTGGCGTAATTTCATTTTAAGATCATCATTTCTTTTGTTGTATTCATTGTTACTTTTTTGTTTATCTGATTTATTTACTCGCCTCGCAAAAAGTCCAGCATTTAGTGACATGTTACCAAGGGAACAAGCAAAATGACACCCATGATGGTGAGGTACATATTGTACAATGTGTTTTAGCCCAAATCATGACTGTCCTCTATAGATAAACAAGTATCCTTCCTGGAAAACAACTTTGATTTGGCAAATGTATTATCTTCGAGTGTAGTCATGATAAAAAGTATAATTAAGACTTAATATTACTTAGCACAAAACCACTGGTTGAACCAATCCAGTCACATTCCTGTTGTGAGTTAAAATTTCGACATTGTTGAATTGTGTGTCCTGTCTGTGGAGTGGTTTGACAAAGCCACAGCAGCATTTCTTTGTATTGACTGTGGTGCTGACTGACTGAATTGATTTTTATCAAATGATTTGGTCATCTTTAACTTTGAAGCTCATAATAACCACAGTATGAGATGGTAAACCTGACTCATCAATCCACCATGTTTTCCTTGACTTGTTCACTTTCAGAGCTGAACAACCTTTTTGAATAATGTGTGAAATGTCTTTAAAATCCAAGACGTCTGCTTTCCCTGTTCATGCTCTTAGGATTACCATGACCTGGAGGACTGAGATTCGACATCAACAAAATATCCTCCAAAGGATAACTTTATTCAATAGAAAGTCAAATAAAAAGTTTATATTAGTTTCCAAAAGTCATTTAAGTGACTGATGAGCTATTTGGTATTTTGTTGTAGAGCGCAGTCAGGAGAGGTAACACCCCGAAAGAAAATTAACATCTCTTAACTCTCACAGCAGCCTTCGTTGATCATTAAGAGCTAATAATGAATAGATAGATGTGCTTTCCTGCAATTTACATTATGCTTTATTGTTTTCTCTCTTTCCTCCTCAGAGGGATCCCTGGGAAGAAATGTGGCACTATCGTCCTATCTGCAGAGGAACTCAGCAATTGTCGAGTAAGTACGCTGTGATGATCCCCCATGCTGAATGCACATGGGAAGACACACATCTGTCAGCCAAGCTTTGTTAAACAGGCTTATCACAAAAGGGGACTGAACAGGAAGGTAGTTTAAAAGGATCAATGATAAAATACGAGCATTCATAGGCAAGACATTTACTTTACTTTGTAAGTTTTTACTACTTGTTAAATTTTTATATCCATGGGTTTTTACTTAATTATTATCATGTCTGTGCAACAATAATGCTAAACCACCACACCAACATGCTGCCTGTTAATTGTAAATGTCTATCTAAAATGTACTTGATTAAAAAAAATCTTGTGTTCTTGTAAGTCGCTGCGGGTCACAGTGTCTGATGCAGATTTAGTTTTTATTTGTGCATGTGTCAACAAGAAATCCTGCTGGATATGGGAAAAATGTCTGAATAAGTTCCTGTTTGCTTTTCTTTTTATTCTGACAAATAATCAGTTAATCAGTGCAGTCACACCATCTGTGTGTTTATCTACCAATTTACTTATTTGCTTTGCACATATTCATACCAATCAATATGAGTTTTCTACATTTCTACAGCTATTACACATCAACAGTAGCTAGACACACATATATTCCACAAACAATGTAACAGATAAGGCAGCTGTTCGTCACTCTGTGGTGACCTGCAATGTAATGAAATGGCACAGGAACATAATGGGGTGAGTGCTAAATTCCCTGTAAAGCAGCTCAGTGGTGCAAAGCTTTGAATGCTACTCCGGGCCAGGCATGCAGATTACGAGAGGTTATTAGCGAGAGAATGCAACTGAAGGAATGGCACAAAAGGGAATAAAAAGATAGAACAAGTAAACCAGGAGCACAAACAAGATGTGATAAGATGGACGGAAATAGGCATTTGTGTGCTTGAATTTGTCTAAAAGACAACAAATGGAAGAGCCAAACAGAAATGGAAATCAATTGGTATAAAACTGTTTAATGTCAGATGTGTAGCAGCGTTTAACCTTGACAACAGGTTGGTTGATGAGTGTTTCGTGAAGTTGAAAGTGCTGCCTCACCGTCTAATACATACACAACACAACACTGTCCAAGGCAGACTGTACAAAAACACAATGTGATAATGCAATGATAGCTATTTTCTTTCACATGTGTGCACATCCGTGCTTTGAAAAAAAGTGTTGCTCCATTAGTTGTATATATTTTTCTTCTTGCATATTGGTAACTTCTGTTAATGCCTCGAAATTAGGAAATGATGACTGGCTATTGTGAGTCCAAGACTTTTTGGTAAAAGGTGGATAATACAATGCAGTGGTCAACTGGGTGTGGATCTCTTAGGTCTGTATCAAACTACCAACGAGCTCTAGAAGAAATAGTATCAACACAACATAATTCCTTTTAATCCTATACTACTGTTTTTAAACCATCTGCAGCAAATAAGTATGTCAGACTAACTTAGTCAGTTTATTCTTTGTTCCGCGGTCAAGTGTGCAACCATTCCACTTAATGTCATTTAACACATCCAAATGAATCAAAGTTTGATGCAATTCAAACATTAACCTTACAAAACACTTACAAATGCAATTTTGTGAAATACAAAGACAGCTTCAGCAAAGCAATTACCACATTTGAAGTTCAGCCTCCAATGGAGGTGAGATTTCTATGCAGAAACATGCAACAATCCTGGTCTTGTAATGTTAACGTAAGATTTATTCAGATTTTGAATAGGTCTGCAGACAATCCCTCACAACAAGGTCTAGTGGTCATTTCAAACACTTGTAATTTATTTCAAAGAATCATACAGTGTGTGAGTATCTTTGCAAACAGAGAAGTCAAATGCCAGCCATCATACATTTCCAGACAATAGTAAAAAAACTAAAAAAACAGAGTATTGGAGAGTGTCATACTTTTGTCATATTTTGTATAAAGAGCAGGTTTGCTTGGCCATGTACAGCAACAATACCCCGCACGTCTGCATTCCTAACACAGTACTGACTGAGTTGTCATGTGGAACATTGTGAGGTTTTCAAGTAGTGGTGGCAGCTCACATAATGGTACTCATATAAATCAACAGAATAGGAGCTGTGAGCAAACCATTGTAGGAACAGTCCAATAAAAACAAGTAAAAATGCAGGGAGTTAACAGCAAGCATCAAGTGAGAAAAGTTTTTTTTTTTTTTTTGCATTCATGTGAAATTGAAAATTATACAATAAATAAATAATACATCAGTTAAAACTTTTAGGCAGGTTATGATGTTGAATAAATGTTTAAACTTTTCTTATCCTATGCTTTGCTTGAATTTATGTCTGACAGGGAAATGAGTATTGGTACCAATAAGCTGTCCAGTATTAGTAAGATAAGTACATTTATTTAAAATGTATGTTTGACTTTAAACAAACTGCAGATGTGACCTGCCCAACAGCACATATGCTGGTTCTCTGCACGGATGACAGCTTATATGGAATTATTTCAAAACACACAATGAGCTAAAGTTTTCTTTTCTTCTAACAGGCCTCTTGACATTTTCTGAGAATTTATTTTGCCTTTAAGACGTCTAAAACGCCCACCAATGTCTCCTAAGATGAAAGATTCTTATCTTGAGGAGGACTGTTGCTAAGTTCAAACAACTAATTCTGGTCTCTTCGGTTCATTTAATGTTTTTCCATTTCCTTTGTTGTCCTCTTTGATGCCTATAAATTTCACTTAATTTTATTCAACACTTCTGAGATACAGCATAAATCACGTTTGGTACAACATAGACGAGAACATATTATCACCCAGCATGAGTTAAAAGTAGTAGATGGAAGAATATAGAATATCAGATACAAAAATAATATTCTAGAATAGCTGGATGACGAGCAATTAAAGGATGCTTTGGTAGTGTTGGTAAAAGCCGCCTCATTTCACTCTTGTTCATTCTATGACAAACATTAACAAAAGTGTGAAATATAATAATTTCGGGGGCATTTTAAATCAAAGATGAAAATGGAAGTAATTCCTATAATTAAGTCCCACTGAGTGAAATTACACATGCAGAATACACACGCGAGTTGAACAGTCAATGTGGATAGTGTGTATTTGTCATCAGTCTAAGTCAACAAACCGTGCTCACAGAGAGACCATACAACCAGCAGGATATTTGTCATTGTCTATCCCTTTTAAGTCCATCTTAAGTGTCTCCTTTTTTCTTTATTTCTTCTCACAACTTCATCAATTTACCTTTCAACTGATTCATTACTTTTCTCTTTCCCCTCATACTATCTGTTTTTTTTCTATGTAATCTTCAGATTCATAAAGACACAAACACAGACTAATTTCATCTTCTTGCCACATTCGTCTTCATTAGTTGAACTATAAGACTCTCTCATGTGAAACACTCACACAAGTCTTTTCTCTTGTCACAAACACTCCTTCATTCCTCCTCATAAGGGGATAATTCCTCTTCTACCTAGCCTGGCCCCCTCTTTAAATATTGATACTCTGAATCTCTCTAGATTAGCAAATGACTGTTGATCACAGAGCTTTGCAGGAATGTGTGCATGCCACAGAACCTTAATGAGGCAGGAGCAGATGCATATTTAATATCCCCAACACATTCTATCACCATAAATGCTTTTATGTCCTGATCAACCCCACAGAGATTGTCTGGTGTGTCTTGTCTCAGAGCAGCAACGCCTCCAAAGTCTGCCAATTCAAAAACTGCAATCTGTGATCAGCCTGATCACCAAGTCACCAGAAGTCCATTTAATTCTGACTGAAAAAAACAGATAAAGCTCTACTGGCTGCTGTAAATGAGCTCTAGGTTAAAGTATTACAAATAGGCATGAAGTCTTGTTTGATTGAATTCACATTACATGTCTCTAAAAGGTGCCATGTGTCTTCACAAGTATCCATACTTGATTATTGTATTCATTTGTGTTTTGTTCAGTTTATCTAAAGATGATAATACAATATTTCTGCATATGGTGGAAAATATAGTATGCAAAGGTATACATCCTTTGTAGTTCCTAGAGTAAAAAATAGATTTGATTTAAATCGTTAATATAAAATTATGTTGATAACTGCATTATTTTTCTGTGACTATGGCTTCCATGCAAACATCAGTCTATGGATAATAGTCCTGTAGGAGCAAGAGCTCATCTGTGTTACTAATCACATTCAAAAGGTGTGATGTGACACTTCAGATGCTTTAGTCAGTTGGATGTATAGTGATATAATGTGGAAACCTCACAGGGTTTGTTTTTTTTGTTGCTTTGTCTGTATTTTTACCCGCTCAGAGACATCACTCGCAATTATGCCCAAAGGTATGGGCTGGGTGTTCTGTTTTCAGACTCCCAGAAGTACAGTTTATTCAGTCTGTTCACAGGAAAACAGAAATCAATTAACACCTCCTAGATGACCTCCTAGTGCAGGGGAATAAGTTTAGGTAACATGGCTGAAATTGAAAATGTGGGCGTGGTTCAGTACGTAGTTACATAAGCAGCACATGTGGGACAACATGAAACAGTACTATCATCAGTCCTGTGCTGGCTTTAAAAAGGATCATCTGGAACAAAGTCTAGTTGAATGCTTTTGATTCTAACATATTTCTTACAATACTAAAAGGTGATCATGGCCTTTTGGAGGAGGGTATATCCATTGCACAAGCATGATCGTCAGTAAATGATGATGACGTTTCCTTTTTTTGTTTTTATTCAACTCCAGATGGAGCCAGAAAGAAACCCAGGAATTATTTTTCCCCCTTCTTTCTCATGTACAGGTGACGTGTGCTGTGCGTTCATTACTGAGAAGTGTGGAAACCCACAGTTTTCCTGAGGATTAAGGGGGTGCTTTCAAAAGAATTAGGCTGTAAGAACATGGAGTCTGCGTGGGAGGGTTGTGCCAAAAGCCAGTTATGTAGAGTGCATGTGTCCTCGGGCTGAAGGCATGAATACAGATAAAGTTCCTCTTTTGCAACAGGAGTGGAGTGAATATGATGTGTTCATAAGTGTGGTGTCTGGCTGTGTCTGATAAAGACACAGAGCAGATACCGTTACACTGTTGCAAAACCCGTGCAGGTCCGAAAATGAAAATTGACACGAGTGTGTAAAAGCACTTTCAGACACACATACAGACATTACCCCGCTGATCTGCAACTTGGCACAAATCTAAACAGGAGGTGCAAGCTGCAATATTATAAAGCCATTAAGCAGTCATGGGTTGTGCCATGGCTGGGGATTATAAGTCCTCAGGTCTGACAAGAACAACTACCTTTACTTTTCTGAACGTGCCGTAATAAACAGGCTGTATTTCAGAGATTAAAAGCTACAGCTCAAATGCCTCAGACAAGTCAGATTCCATATGTGCATAGCCACGCTGCTAGGGGAGCCAACAGAAGAGGGAGGGGTGGCAGCAATCAGCAGCAGGCATGTGATTTATGTTTGAGTCTTATAAAGCACAGCATGTCATGATGAACATCTTGTAGAGGAAAAGCACAATCACGCTTGTTTATAAAAATAACTGCTGTGCTTTTGGGGAGGATTAAGTGTGCAGTCAGAATTGATCTATCTCCATCACTGGTTGGCCTCAGATTCATCACCAATAAATTAGAAGCCAAATGGAAATTTTTCAGATTGTTACTTTTTTAATTGTCTTAGCTTTAAGTCATATGCAAAATACAATTTTTTCTTTAAAATGTACCAGTCTCCATAAAGAATCCTGTTAATTTGCAACTCGCAGTTTTTCTATTGATGAAAGCATTTGGCAAAAATAGTTATTATATGTGAAGATGTTGCTGCTGTGTATTTATTTTCTTATTATGTTGAAGGAATGAAAGTGATATAATGTTACTAATTGGGATCTGATTAATTTATGCTAAAGGTATATTCTGAGCAGTGGAAAGAGAGTGTGGAAACACTCGGCCATAGCATTTACTTATATTTGAAATGATTTCTTTTTCATAAAAAAAAAACACCATAGAGCCATGTTATGATTTAATTTCTATTGGGATCTTTTTTTCAACAAGCTACATAACACATAAAATCGAACTGACCAGAGAACATAAGAAAATCACAAATTTCAAAGATAAATAATCTTTCTTTTTTGTGCTTGATGTTTCTCTGAGGCTGAAATGCACTAGAAGCCTCTGATGGATTCCAGATTCAATGACAGGTATCAGAAAGAGTTAGCTTGATGACTCTTACTCATGCTAGAATTAGACTTGGTAAGCAGCTGTCAAAAATGTTAGCACGACTGCTGGTGGACTGATACTGTGTCGTAGGTTAAAATGGAAATTCACACACACAGACACTTCCTATCTCACCCACATAAATAAAAACACTGGGCCATTAGATCGTGTTTATAGATAAAGCTTGAGAGGCTTTTAGGCTGACAGACAGTACTTATCAGAGCAAACATTTAAATTGCAGACTGAAACCATAGACAGTCACATTTATTATTGCTTATTCAAATGAGTGTTAACTTTTTGTAACACATTGTATAATTTATTAAAACACTTATTTGAATGTTGATCTTGTACTCTCAGCCACATTGTTGTTTTTATGCGGAACCATGTGTGAAAACTCAGTGTGTACTTCAATATGTATGACACATTATTCAAGAAAGTTCACTTAAAGTCTCCACGACTGCCTTTCCTCGTTTGCATTTTTAAAAATATACCTATGACATAAATGAAAGTAACCACATTTCATGTCTAAATTAAGCAGTTTGAAGATGTGAAAACAAACAGTTTAAATTAAAAAAAAATTAGTTTTTTTAAAGTCAGTGAGTGAATTATTAAGTGAATGCTTATTCCATTTTATAAAAGTTTTTAACTTGAACTCCCAGTGACTGACTTCCTTGAAATTCTAATATTGTTCATGTCTGTGTGGATGTGTTGAGCTTTCATTTAACAGCAAGCAGCTTCAAATAGTTGGAAGATGTATTTAAAAGGTTTGAAAATAAACTTGAGCCAGTTCAATCCACTGTTGAACTTGGGCTTTATCTATCATGAGTAAAACAAGTTTGGTCATTGTAAATACCTCCAACTACTGTTTGATTTTGTTTGACCTTATAAAAATCAAAAGAATGTATAACTGGTTTGTATATTTTTACTTTCTGTGGAAATTGACTTTGTGTGTCATACATTCTACTGTTAGTGCACACTTACTACACTGGTACAAACATAAACATACAGAGTATCTGATAATGTATTCTCATCATCCACTATTCAGCAATAGCATCCATTTGTTTCCCCTAGGGCAGGTTGTAAATATAAAAGTAGAGGAGGACACGCAAATATTTTAGCATATATAATGTCATAAAGAACTTATTATACCTTTCTCTTCCCACGCCTCATCTCATCTCAACATTTTCCATTTATGCCTGCAGGACAGTGCTACTATGCAGTTTTGCGCCAACAAGCTGGACAAAAAGGATTTCTTTGGAAAGTCAGACCCATTCATGGTTTTCTACAGAAGCAATGAAGATGGAACGTAAGTACTTGATGCAATTTTTTTTGCTTCCTATCAAGTGATTAAAGTGTAGAATTTGAAAAAGCGCTGGATGTTTTAGAAACACAGAGAGCTAAAACTTTCTTTCAATATTTCTTGATCTGCCACTGTTTTGGACTCCTGGAATCAAACTCTATTTATACTAGTATACTTTGGCATATTTATTCAAGAGGCACAGTTAATGCTGTAAAGTAATGTGATGTGAACCAAACCATAAGCTTTACCAAATCTTCACACTGTTTTGAATCCAACCAAGTTCTGTTGCATTAACAGGCTCCACAAGAAAGGCACATTTTGGTCTCTGCCCCTTAGTTGACTTGAGATGATTTATAACTAATTTCTTATTCATTCCACCTCCACCCCTCCAGTGTTCTAAAATAGTCTGTTTATCATGTAGAATCCACCATTCTGATGTCATATATCATTGTGCCCAGCACAGAAGCCAAATAAACTATTTTGTGTATGTATGAGATGCCAAAGTGACATCATTAGAATCCATGGCAATTAGAATAGTCTGATAATTATACATAATCCACTGAGGTCATGTTTGTAGAGTGGCCTAACTGCATTAAGAGTTACACATCATGTCAAGGTTGTGGCATTTGTGCCAATAAAATCCAATTTTCTAAATCCCATAGTTGAAGAATAAACAGATTGCAAAATGTATCTCTTGAAAAAGGACTAATTAAATCCTCGCAACTAGATCGGAAAGATTGGGACATTTCAGCCAGAAAACATCAGAAAGGACAGAGATACAAAAGTATTATATCCGGCATCTATTCCTTCCGGTAAATCTTCCATTTAAATTACCTCATCAAACCAAACATGCAAAATAGGCAATTAAAGTAAACAACAGAAGAAGAATTGTGGGGAAAACAACGGCATCTGCATTTGCAATAAGGAATAAGAAAAAAAAACAAATCAAAACCTACCACTACAATGTCATTAGTGGCCCGAAGTGTTCCGTGGGCTGTGACACCAACAGATGTTTCTGTCAGGAGATGTGTTCAAGCTTCCCTAAATCTTTAATCTATCATATATACCAGGGCAGGAAATTGATCACCCAGACCTGCAGCTAGTGTCCATTGTTGGTCCAAATGAGAGGTTTTGTGTTGTGGGGTGTAAAAGGCTTTAGGAATGTGGTAACAAACAGATAAACTAATCCAAGGATTTTGGGAAAAAAATATGAACACAAAACTGCAATACATGTAGTTTCTTTTGCAAAAGAATTTCTGATCTTATCTGCTCTGCAAAACATTTCACATATCAGAGAAATCCATTTGCAGGTCATTGTCAGACGTGTGCTCGGGGGAAAGGATTTAGAAGTCCGACTGGAATATTAAATGAATTTCTCTTGAGTGAAGCACAAGCCAGGGAGCAAACAAACCCCTTTTGAAAGTAGTTCTCATGAGAAAAAATCTATATGATTGTAGGATTTTTGTGTCCTGTCTGCTTTATTTCTTCAATTTCATGCCCCTCACCTATTTGCATATCTGTCTACATCTCTTCTCCTCTCTCTGGCTTTTGTACATGACAGAGAATCAATTTTCGACCAAGCCTCTTCCTAAACATATCATTTCCTGTTATCCATCCTCTTCTGATTCTAGGTTTACTATCTGCCACAAAACAGAGGTGGTGAAGAACACATTGAATCCTGTGTGGCAGCCATTCACCATCCCAGTGCGAGCACTCTGCAATGGCGACTATGACAGGTAAGAAGCTCTGTCCCAGTGTTGGGAAACTTTTTTAGCCGTACATCTGCTTTTTTGCCATTCTCTGATTAACTCAGAATTATTTACCCCCTCTATCTCTGTGTATCAATGATAGTTAGAAATACAAACACCACTGAAAAACGAGTTTTCCGTCAGTGACATCTGTTCGCACTGATATCTGTTGGCTCAATATATCAGCAGCTGTCATGGTTCTAATTAGTGTCTCTGACTGACAAAGTTTGTTCTAAATACAGCACTTATTCAACCTGGGTACAATTTGAAATAATTTAAACAGCACAAATCAATACCAATTCAACATTGACAGTGTTAAGCCTCCCATTATTTCTCCTCCCATATTATCTCAAAGCAGCCATGTGCCCCTGTACATCCCTTCGTATTGATCTCAGCCAGAAAAGCACCTGTCAGACATAGCCTCTCTAATCCCACTGCCCTTTTTCTTCTGTTTTTATCTTTTTCTTTTTTCTCTCTTTTTCTAATCAACAGCTTTCACCTAAAAGACAATCCTAAACTCAAAAACGGTGCTGTTGTAACAAATATAATAAATGTACTGTGCCTTCGAAAAGTTTGGAGACATATATTACATACAAAAATGGTAGCTGTGTCACATTAGATTACCCAGTCTTATCAACAAACATACCAAGTCTGTGCCCTTGTAAACAGCCACCCTCTTACACCATCATTCTTCGACAATAGTGTTAAAAAAGGACCCTAAACATTATTCTATCACACTTAGAAAAGAGCAGGGGATATTAACTTACCTAGATGTTACTATAGTCATTTGACAAAATGGGAAACAAACTCTTCATAAAATAATGGCGCTCTTAACATATTTTTAACAGATCTGAATTAAAAAATCCCTCACTAAACTGTGTCATCATTTATATAACAAACACAGAAAAAGAAAAACTGAGTTAAAAAGTGAGTTATGCTTCCAAAGCAAGGTAAATGGGTATATAGCAGCCTTGTGCTGTTTATAAAATGCACTAGATTAACGTAAAAAGTGGTGCCTGTGAACACTTTTACAAAAGCTAATTCTTTGCCGTTGGCTCATGGCTTATCTACACAATTCTAATTTAAAAGTAAGTTGTGTGAAAAGGAAAAGCTAAATTACAGAGTACCTGTGTAGATAGATGAAAGGAAAGACTGACAGATAGCCTATTTCTGTGGAAGTATTTCAGTGGAAATGCTGCATCTATTCACCCCATCTTCCATCTTGTTTGCATGCAGTCAAACTATAATTACAAAGAGTGCTGAAAATGTGAACCCTGACATAAACTCCAAACAGACAGACAGGGACAGCAACACTGATGGGTTTGCTATTTGGATATATGGGATTACCTCGAGAAGTGTATTGAAAACTGTAATAGTGGTTGAAGTTTGTCAGCCAGCCAATCACACATGATTCCTCAAAGTGTTCCCCACCTTGTCAGAGCCAATCATATCCAAGGGACTGAGCAGGGCATGAAAGGCATCTACTGAAATGCTCAGATGTCGAAAAAAAAAACATGTACACAAATATACATGTGCACACATGGAGTGTGATGAAATGTGACAAGGCACAACCAAGAAGATTCTGAAAGTCTTGAAATATCACCTAGACAGCAGAAGAAATAAGTTACATATTTATGTTGGTGAGAAGTAAATTTAGTATTTTTTCTGCCCACATTTATGCTCTTTCAGGGGTCTGGATTTTTAGTTATGTAATTTCCTTTTAATGATTAATATTTTTAACCTCCGATAATATGTTATCATCCTACTTGTGTTTATACATCAAACGCATCTCTTCAGCTTGTGAATTCTATTCATCTATATAATTACAGTTTTGTGTCCATCAAGTGAAGCAAAGCTTTGAATGATTCTAATTGATGGTTGATGCAGAGTGCCACAGAAAAAATGTCCAATTAAATATAATTTCCTTGACATAAATCAAAAACTTTGTAATTAAATTAAATATTTGGTGATGTGCTTGTGAGGGTTGGGGTTGGTGTTTTAAAGGAGGGTATTGGTAATTGACATCATTTTAGATATTAGAGATCACTTTGTTAATTGAAAGACATGTTCAAGCCAAAGTGCTTTAAATTAGAGCAACATGAATTGACATAATCTAGCATTTCCCCCACCATGTCAAATATTAAAGAGGCTGTGAAATCCTAAATTAAAACACCTACACTTTATTTCAAACTTCTGTCAGATGTAATGTGATATACTTCCTGTCACTCTATCAAGACTGGTATATACAAGCGTGTGTGTCTGTGTGTGGGGTGGGGGGGATTTCCCACCCAACATAACTTGATTCCATGGAGATTAATTCCATTTAGTGACCACATGACCTATTCTCATGAGCCTTTCAGAGAGGATCTTATCAGATTTGATCATTGCAACCAATGCAATATACATTGTTCACACAGCAGAACGACACGCAGGAATTGCAATATTAGATTTTTCCATTTGAGTAAGAATATGTACATGGTAATATGCAGATGGAAAACCAAGTTAAGAGTAACAAGAGTATTTGTCAAATCTTTTTTATATGGAAATAATAATAAGATGACCCAAAAATGCACAACTTTCCTTTTTCACTTAGTTGTAGCTGAAGTTCTGTATTTCAGCTTTTTTTTTTATTAAACTTCACATCATTTTGAGCCTTGCAGAAGTGTGAGGTGGCGTAGTGAGATAAATTAATAAGCATTCACAATGCGGTGATGTGTTAACTTGACTTTTGATCAGTGGCAGCAGATACATTATTAAATAATTGGCATATTCCATGCTCCTTCTTCAAGGTTGTATCTATGACAAGGAGCTGCTGCAGAGTTTGATTCCCTCTAGCTGTAATGAGTGTGAGAAAATATTTTCAAAATCTTTAGGACTGCTGCAGAAACTTCTGCTCTTTGCTTATACTTACAAAGTGTTTCACCTACCGGTACTTCCATCTAATGCATCATTTCAACACTGTAAATTTGTTGCTGTTGTTCTTACCATAATTTTCAAATGGTACAACTACATGCAGACATATCAACTAAGCCTTATGGAGTTTTTAGTAGTGTTGTGGCTTCTCTTTTGACAAACAGGAGGGCTTTGGCAGAGAATCTCCAGGTCATGTAAACTTGTTTTTCCAGAATTTATAGTAACTGCATGGTTATTTGAGCACAAATGGACCCTCAAAGGTAGACTACCTCAGCATCTTTGGAGTGCTGATGTGAAAAATGGACCATTTTGTTGTGAAACAACTGTAAATTCCTAAAATATTTTTTGTTTCATGCCTCAAATTATGTATTCTCAAGGCTTGTGCAAATAGATGATCCTATGCATGCCGTTCTGAAGTGTGAGGAACGTTACAGAGAAGTGACCAACATTTGAATGACTGAATGCATTCACTTTAGCATACTGATTAAGTTACTAGCTTTGCAACCCTGAAAAAGCCTCAAGTTCCTCCTTGGCAACTATACTTTCAAACTTGTAAGGCTTTTCTTTCTGCCTCTTTCGAATAAAGGAACCACAAAATAGCCTGGCATGCAGCCTTTTGTTTACTGACCACGTCACATTTCCTAACTCACAATATGTACAGAGACTATGTATAAAAGAGAGAATATCAACATGCTGAGACATAAAGCTGATGCAGGGCTCTCAGTGCTAAGTGTAAAATATACTTGTCTCAGTAGGCTACCATTTTGAAAGTATCATTTGTCTCAAAATTTATAAAAAGCAGCTGAAAACAGCAGGAGAAAAGAGACCAATAACATTGATTATTACACAGTGAAATATCAGGATCAGTCCGTTAGCTACAGGATGGAATTTGCACATACCAGAGGAGATTTATTTTACCTGTAAGAACACACTGTTACCTAAAACTGAACAGACTGACAATGAAAATGTAAGCCTCTGGATATGCACAGGTATATAGTGTTATAGTACCAGTATAACCTGAAAGAAGCCTGTTGTTTTCTTGGCACCTGAAGAATATTATTCATCTCTAGATACATTTTGTGTAATGACTCTGCACCATATCAGTTCCCCCCAAAATAATATCACTAAAAACTTTGTCATCCTACTCAAGAATAACTTTCTAAGCTGTGCCTTCATGTCTTCATTCTGGGGTGATGTGAAGAGGTTGTGACTCTGTTTCTTGAAACTTTTTAATTAACAGCTTCTTCACAGTCTCATTCTGAATCAAGCCCCAGTGAATGTGTTGGTGAGGGCTTCAAGGTTCCTCTATCTCTGGAGCTCCGGCCTGCTCAAGTATGTCAGTGGATGACCCACTGCTGGATGACTTTATTCTAATCAGAAGTGGTCTTTAGTTTGGATGTATCACTTTCAGTAGTGGTACTAAAACGCTGAAGTTTAAAAAATGGCATTCCCAACTGGTTACTCTCTATCTCTAAATCAAACTGGGAGCAGAATGCAGAATAGTGTGTCACTAGTCTCATCATTGGCTGCTTGACTTTCTTTGCCAAACTATACAAATAAGAGCTGTTGGGCCCTTTAGGGGGAAAAAAAGCCTCATTCCATTACTTTGTTTAATTCAAAGTGTCATTTATTTGTAAAAGTTTCTTAATCCCTTGGGCTGTCCCGCACTTTCAGCACGAGACGGAGCACTTCAGACCTGACTTTACAACACCCTTTTAAAGAAAGAAGTCAGATGTAAAAAAAATAAGAAAATATAATCTACTTTTCTTCTTCCCAAATAGAACAAACTGTTTTAGTTTCTTAAACAAAAGCAGTTTGTTCCTGCAAGGGTTTTTTTTCTATGTCCAATCTGGCATCTTCAAATCTTGTGCTATCAGTGCTCTGCAGCTTTCCTTAAAAGTATTTTCAAAGGCTGACCAATCTTTCCCTTGTTTTGTACCATTTCTGAGTTCACTTGTTTGTCTGGCATCAGGGGATGGCACCTCAGTGCAACTAATGGATAAAACTAACTTTTTAACACCCTTTGCACAAACTAAAAAGGGCAGCAGGTCTCCCACTACATCAGGATGGCCTTTTATGTGTTCCCATCTCTCTGCACAAATCAGCATGTTTTGGCTCAGATGCAACCTCTCCCCATTTATCCAGAAAAATGCAATTAAAGGCCTCACTGCCTCTTAAGAAACGTGAGGGAAAAAAAGGAGCATGGAACAGAGGGAGGTGCAGCCATAAAGGCTGGGGATCTGCGCCATTCCAGTCCGCTTGCTCTGAGCACTGGGATTTCAATCGTGTCACAGCAAGTAAAAGAGATGCCAGATGTATTCTAGCCCGGTATTCACTGATCAGAGAGACGAGAGTGTGGACACTTTCAAAATGAAGCCATTGTCATGATAGATTTTGAAACCATGGATACACTGAAATTCTGAACGTTTGGTGCTGGTGGAATGGCTGCTCATACTGAAGTGGCGAACTGGTTATCTAAAATTCACATGATTTTTATGTTGGAATTTTTTTTCTTTTTATTGATGTGTTTCAAAGTTTCAAAAAGAATAGAGGCGAGCTTGGTTAGATGGTCACTTATATTCAAGAGAGAAAATGTCCTTCTTCACTTCACTGAATGAAAATGTCACCTTCCTTCTCAGGCTGACAGTGCTGGAAAGCAACAATTATATAAGAGCTTATACCTTCAGTTGTTCTACGCTACAGACAAGGGGGGCGGGGAGTGTGTGTGTGTGTGTGTGTGTGTGTGGGGGGGGGGGGGGGTTCGGTAAAGTGGATTCAGTTTTCCCACCTGTCCATAAAGCTATTGAAGGAATGGCTACATTCTGTAGTTTGGGGAGCTGAATATTGTAAATTATGCTCTCCAGGGTGGCATGATGTTCTCAAAATGGAGATAGTGCAGGCTACCGCAGACAAATTGAGCTTATCTCAGAGGTTCCACTGAATTCAACTAAATGTCAATACCCTGTCAATCAGAACAATCTGCCTCATATTCGCAACACAGAAACTGTGCCTGGAGTAATACATTTATTACACCTATGCTGATCCATAGAAGGTCCTGCTTGTTTTTACCAAGATTTTAGAAAAGGGGAAAAAAAGAATAAAGGGAGAGAAAATAGGATCTGGTGATTAGGTGGGCTGTCTTTTAAGTGGCAGCGTGCAGTTAAACACCCTGCCAGCAAGTGCTAATTTACTAAAAGCAGCTGACTACATTTTGGAGACTGGGGAGCATGACTGGGACTGGATGTCTTTGTACTTAAGAGGAAGAAGAAACAAATGAGTCAAGATCAGTAAGTATACCTGTGGTGTAACAAAGGAAGGAAATCAAGGAAATGGAGATGAGGAGATTAAGCAGGAGGTGCTTCCAATTTTTTATAACTTTTTATCATTGAGTGAAATTTGAAGGATCACTTTCTTTGTCTACATATTCATCCTTGACTCAATGACTCAGAATAAAGTGTTCCTTTGTGCCACCAGTACCGAAGGTTCTGGGATAATTAATCATTGACATTCAAAGAAAGAATCCAGACTTCCTCGTACTATTTACTGGTCAGGGATACTTAAAGATCTATTTTCATCCTTAGAGAAAAAGAAACGCTGCAGATAAAGTAATCTCTAGCAGATTAGATTTGGAGGGCTATTGTCTCACATGTTCCAGAGTCCCCGAGGATTTTTGCACAGTTGGAAATTGAGATGCAAAGATTTTTCTTTCTTTTTTTTGATAATGGCAAATGCCATGACGTGGCCTGATGACAGTTTGAATGGCGAGCACTATGAGAGAGTAATACGCAGATTAGTTATCCTTGTTATCAGAGTTAAATGGAGGAGTGGCATATGTCCCTCTGCTGTGTCCCCTCTGTTTTCCCTTGTTGGAGGAGAAGCTCCGTGCCTCTGCCACATGTATGGCACACGCAGGCTCACATCATCAAAGGCCTAATTCTTCACTGTGGAACGACAGGGGCCAGATGGCAGGGAGGAAGTTGGGCTTATATCAGGTATCTTTCAGTGCCTCAGTGACGGGAAAGCATCTGTGATGTATCACTTGCTTCTCTTTTCTTTGGATCTGGAAGGTGTCAATGCCTGTATAAAATGGAAAGTGGAGGTATGGGAGGTGGGGGGTGGGGGGGATCAGTCTGTCTCTAGGGGAATCCACAAAGCCTGGAAAAGTTTTTTTTTTTCCTCCCTCCCCTTTCTTTTTCAGGAATACATTTTCCTTTATGTTTAAAATGTCCTTACTGTGCCTTTTGTTTTGAATGCTGGAAGTAAACATGTCCTGCTGCTTTAGGGTTAGAAATTCTTGAAGCAAATGCTTCATGTTGCCTTTTTCTCTCCCACAAGGTTCCCTGCTCGTCAGCCTTGCAGAAACTGTTGCAAAAGATCCACGTTTAGAATCAAGTGGTGTGTCATAACAGAGGCCAGAGCGAGCCACTGAAAAACCTTCGCAGGATCTAGAATGACTGTGCGTTTGTTCTGATTTTTCAACAGAACAATCAAGGTGGAGGTGTATGATTGGGACAGGGATGGCAGGTGAGTGCAGCTGCCAAGATATGACTTCTATTCTTTACACACAACCAAAAATACTCGCAACACGTCTCAAAAATAATTCACAAGCTTACCGAAGTCCGGAAGAAATTCTATTCAGCCAAGTAAACTTTACACCTTGTCGCAAAGTTTGTTTTTGTCCCAAATTCATTCCCTCTTATTTATGCCTGATTTTTTCCCCCTGCACTCAATAACTCCTCAGCCACGACTTCATTGGGGATTTCACGACCAGCTACAGAGAGCTAGCTCGAGGGCAGAGCCAGTTCAATGTGTATGAGGTGAGTCATTTTGATGTTCTCACAGTTCAACAACATGACTGTTGGCTGCTGAAGTTCTTGGGTAGCTGATATCTAGATCCAGCCTTTTTTTTTTTAAGTTGACATTTCTGTCTCAGATGTGAGTGTTCCAGTGTTTTCCACTTACCTAATACTGTCACCCACATGAATACTCCCTAACCTCCGCATTTTTCGAGCTGTCAAAAACGTATTTGAAATCAACGTTATTCCCTTGTCTGCCATTTCTTTCACAAACAACCTGGCATGTTTCATAATTTGATCTTGTCTCATCACCTTCTGCAAACAGTTACAAATCCACATTTCTTCCACCTCTGTTTAATTTCCCCCTGAAACCAATGACAAAAATAGAAATAGATATTAGCTGCCGAGTGAAACTGTATAAGTGGGTGTTCAATTCAAGAATTTAAAATGATAACAGCCATTTTTCGGAATAGTTCTGCATGTCAGTTAAAAACCCAACTAATTGTCATGTTTCCTCCATCAAAGATCACAAAGGCCCGAAATGGCTTTTGTTTTCGGTTAATTTATTATATGCTCACATGTCATTACTTTAATTCATTATAAAATACTTGACAGTTCTGATACCCAACGTCTTCAGGCTACATTGATAATCCTTCTAAAGGAATTGAAAGGTCTGAGTGTCAGTTAAAAAGTCAAAATCTTACCAAAAATAGAGGACATGTCAAAGTCTTCATGCCCCTGTGGTTTGGTGGCCTTCAGCGAAGGACAAATACCTGTCTTTTAGATGTCAGCTCCATTATACGCCACGGCTGATTCCTTTCTGCCTCCCAGGGAGCCTGAAAGGCCCTTTAGTTTTTGCATCAGCAGATTGTTCGGTGTGTCAGACAAATTGCCATCCCTCCATGTTAAATTAGGGGCTGTCACTTTCATGCCTAGCAGCCATTGAGAATTGAGGTAATGAGCTGAGACATCTTTGGTCTCTCGATTGGCATTTTTCCTCTTGTTCTTGAGTCGCTCCAATGTTGGTGAAGTAAATGTTAGCCTTGCACCTTAAGCCTCCCTCACCCACTGATTCACTGTGACCTGAGATTCAGGTTGGAATTGGAAATCCTCCTCTGTTTAACCCCGTGTGTCCTGTTCTAGAGTTTGGAAGAGCAGGACATTAAAGGGCTGCTGGCCCCTAAAATCCCCGAGTAGCCTGGTCTCTCTACCTTTTTTCAGAGGCTATAATGTTTCTTTGTGAAATTTAACCTGACTGAGCCATCACATCCATTTAATTAAGGTGTGTAATTCACAAAGGGATTTTATGTCATCACATGATTTTCGAACATTGTACATTTTATTTTACATTGAAATAGAATGTCAAACATGAGAAACTGCTCTTATCATAGATAGTTAAAAATGAATTGATACATACATTTCCCCACCTTATCTCTTTGTAACAAATGTGATTGACACATGTATATTTTAGCATTTTTCATCATCTGAACAATTTGCTTTTTTGTCATTTAGGTAATTAACACAAAGAAGAAAATGAAGAAAAAGAAATATGTCAACTCTGGAACAGTATGTATGGCCCTGGGACCTATTTTTAGAAACTAAAATTTAACTTTTGAAAGTCCATAGGATTTTTTTACATTATGAAAGAGGCGCAAAGTGAATTCATGCATTAATTATGTCTTATCCACCAAATACATACTTTGGCCACACAAATAAAAAGTCTGGATGGATCAGAAGAACTTGAAAGACATCAGAGACTTGAGTGATTCCAGCAGCCGATTTAGACACCAATTTTTACTCAACATTCCTTGCAGTCTGTGCATGAGCTAGTAATGCATACAAATACACCAGCTCTTCCCTTCAAACGTGTCCTCTGGGGAATGCAAATGCATAAGTAATCACAAGAGCTTTCTCCTATTCTTTATCATGCAAGAATGTGAAGTGCTGTGCGGATCTGTTAGATGTAGGAGAACTGTGTTTAATCAACTCTTTGTCCTTTTTACATTTACAGGTGACCCTGCTTTCATTTTCAGTTGAATCAGAGTTCACCTTCTTAGATTACATCAAAGGAGGGTGAGTAGGACTATTGCCATAATTGAAAAAATCCCAAAATGGCATTTTTTGTTCTGCTGTTGCACTTCTTCATTTGCAGTTAACAAGATAATTGCTGTTAGAGTGGATCTATAGATTCCTCTACAGCACTGGGCCACCACTATTTCACTCTTGACCGGTGGAAGAGTATTCATGCTGCAGGAATTACAGTTTTTATTACAGGAATTATTGTTTTAATCAAACAATGTTTAGCAAGATTTTGATTTTGACATATTATGCATGTCAGCAGTATTTAAACACAAATGGAAAGCAACACAGATGTCTGTTGAAAACAGCCTGAAGTTGCAACTGTTATGGACAAGTGCTTAACATGACTTCTCGGGAGAATTTCCCAGTGCTTACACACAGGCTCACGAAGAGATTTTATGGCCTCGGGTGGCTGGATAGACTAACACTGCAGAAAGACTAGTGAATCCAAGACATACATTTGACCGTTTAGATTCAGCAAGACTGAAATGTGTCTGAAATGGATAGAAAATGTGCATCTTCCAATGGTTTTCTCTCCCAAAAAATTTCAAATAAAATGTCAGACATTTTCACATTAAACATATTCATTTAAGCCTCAGTTCATCTATTTGCTGTCAAAAGTACATTTAAGAATTAGCCTACCGCATCGTAACTACAGCCATACGAATAACTGAAGTCATTACTTCGAAAGTAAAATTTTGAAGTAAAAAATGCACTGACTCGTTTATGGTATGATTATATTGTTTTGTCTTGAACTTAAAGCTGGGTTTAGATTGCTGGAGGTTGGCATGTGTATGTCAACTAATTCTCTGGTGACATGTGCCTTTCCAGGCAGGCTGGCTGGGCTGTGCTTTGATCTGCACTGTCTCATCACAGTGGGTATCCTGACAGAGGTTTTTATGTCCTCTGGCAGAGCTGACAAGTGTGACAGATTTGGCCGACAGTTCTTGGCTGTGGCTGATTCATGATACAATAACCTTAAGGTTTAGTGACCTCACTTCAGAAAAAATATCATCCTCATCATTCTGCCTCCCAACATTAGCCTGGCACTTACTAGATGACCTATTACGGAATTGGATGTTCCAAATGGGGGGCATCTTACACTGTCAAAAATAGGTGAAAGTTCAGGGGGAAAATTTTATGTTCAGCAACATAATAAGAGATAAATCTCATCTTTTCTCCAATAACTTTTTAATGTAAAATTAAACTTTAAAGCTTATTTCCTTTTAATAAAAAGGAACTAGGATAGTTTGTATTTATTACTTGACAAATACTCAATAGAGGGCAAGAAAAAATTGAATAACTGAATACCTTTCAAGCACTCCCTCCTTCTTGTAGCGGATGTAAAATGTCATCTGACGGTTCATTTTTCTCATTCGCAAACTCTGCAGCACGGGTACAGTTAAGGACATGATATCCCTGGAATGTAATGAAAGGCTATGTCTTTATGTTGATTATGGTCCAGAGGACTGGTATCTGGTTAATGTTTTGGATGACATTACCTGTGCTTTGAATTACAATTAGGAGGAGGCAATGTAAATGGAAAAGGAAATTTAAAAAAAAAATGGAAAGCTGCTGGCAAAATGACACACTTGTTTAAATCCTTGTGAAAAAGAATCAGCTTGTTGATGATTTCTCCTTTTCACAGTGTTAAAGCATAGTAAAGAATTCCCATAGATTGCCCTAAAAAAGAGAAACGACTGGAATAAAAAGGAGCTGTCTAGGTTCAATTTGTTAAGTTTTACCAGAGTGACAGGAGTCTATAGGGGATTTTTTTTTCTTCTAATACTGACCTTTAGTTTGGGGTCATGTAGCATGTATAGTTAGCTAACCTGCCTTCTGATGTGGTAATTCATTCAAATATTCATCATTAATAAATAAAATGCAGTTTTAATTAAGATAGGGGTTAGCAGGGTCAGACCATGGTATATGTTCCATCCCCAATATACGAGCTGAAAGGTTAATGTGAATCTTTAACTCATTCGTTTTACTATCATTCTTTTATTATTCTCTCTGGTGACTTTCATTGTTAATGAGACGCTGTCGTTTAAGCCCCTGAAGGCTTCTTCTCAATGTCGTAAATTAGCAAGAAGAGGGAAAAGCTTCATCAGCAGGGAAAATTGGATTATGATTTGCTCTTAAGTGCTTCATCAGTCTAATTGCTTGTTATGAGGCACTGTGTCTCAGAGGTGCGTCTTGTTTGTGCTTATGGATGTTGAAGTCAAATACATGGGATATAATCATCTAAATCTTATTTGTCAACTGAGAGAGCCATTAAAAATAAGACATAAGGTATTTATGATGTATACAATGCCCTTTGTTGTTGTTTTTTTCTCTCTCCATGTTTTTCCAGTGTTTCTGTTTTGTATCGCAGACTGTTTGCGTGATTGTGTTTGTTGGTGTGCGTCTTGGTGTAAGAGCACAAGAACTTAATGAGGCCTCACATGTCATTAATTCTGGCTTGTCTGTCCTTGATCTTTTTCCCTTTTTTTCTAATGTCCTCTTCTCCAACTCTCTTCTAGGACACAGATCAATTTTACTGTGGCTATTGACTTCACAGCATCTAATGGTGAGTGATACTAGCAACAAAGTGCATGTTTGGAAATTGGAAGGGGGCTACAATATGTAGTTCTGCTCTTTGACTCTGGTATGCCCAATTCAGAGTCAATCCCACGAGCATGTGCAGTGTGGACATGGAAGTTATACACGTATGTAGACATGTATACACGTTTTCAAAAGGTATGGGCCTTTCTCTAGAGATCTTCATACTAAATATTTCATCTCCGTATGGAGATTTTCCCCATGTCTGGTGCTGATACCACGCATGAGCAATTTTCAAGTGAAAGTCACTAATCAATATGGGCACAGCTACGCCCACTATACATTTTTTAATGCATTAATGATTTCTTGAGGTAAACTGGTGTTGAAAACTGCCCTTAATATAGTTGTGTTTTCAGCAGCTCATGGTGGATTCCTTTATATCTGTGATCTGCTCCAGACACATCACTCCACCTAATTTAGACTGCAGTCATTTTGGAAAATGTAGAAATTGTGTGTACTATGTATCTCCAACTTTAATATACTCCAGGATGGAGAAAAAAAGATTCATTAAAGGTTAAATGAGAATGCCTTATATACGAAAAAAATAAATCCCTGACAGCATATATTCATCCCTTTTTCAATTTCGCTCAATTCCACATGTATGCCTACAAGATGATAAGAGATATGTAAGTTTTCTACATATCTCAATATTAGATAAGCTAAATTAACTTTTGTGCCACTGTGGGTGCACTTGTTTATTATCAGGTCAATAATGGTTTGTATATCTGTATATATATGTGTTTGTATGTCTTCTAAACAATGGTTATTCATACCTTTAACATGCCATGTGACGTATATAAAGCAAATAGACAAAAATCTGAACAGCTGTTAAGTCAGTTTCTGCTGTTTGAACTTTCAAAAGAAAACAACTGGTAGATACAAGATCCTGGCCTCATAATGCCTAATAATGTTAAGCCTGCCTATTCTCTCAGTATAAATGATAAACTATATGTGCAATGCAAGAAGGTGAAGGTGTTTTGAATAACTATCAAAGACAGTTAGCATGGCAAACAGTTGATTCATCTTTATTGCCCAAAGATGTTCTGTTGTGATGTCGGAAACGGTGGCAGTCAATCTTTTGTTAAACACTGGATATAATCACCTACATTATTTTGGTGAGCACAGGGCTGTCACCATCTCGCTGCACCATCAGAGGCCCAGGTGATCAAAAGATGAGCACTTGTCACCCACAAATCTCACTGGATACAATGATGGTATTTTCTGAAAGACATCCAAAATCCCCAGGCTTGGCTGTTGACACTTACTGACTTCATGATGACAAGAGAGAGGATGTTTGAGAGGCTTGGGTTTAGAACATAACAGCTCTGTTTTACAGGAATCAGGTTAATTGTGAGAAATGTCTGTAGCAAACAATTTCTGTGTTTGGCATCACGTCAAAAACACACTGAAGATGTCATGCCTTCACTGCGTCCTCAATGTGAGGATATTCTGATTATTTCATTTGTCATCAGGTAACCCCTCCCAGTCAACTTCGCTCCACTACATGAACCCTTACCAGCTCAACGCCTATGCCATGGCCCTGAAGGCTGTTGGTGAAATTATTCAGGACTATGACAGCGACAAGATGTTTCCTGCTCTGGGCTTTGGAGCCAAACTGCCCCCGGACGGGCGTGTGTCTCACGAATTTCCTCTGGTGAACCCCTCATTTCTTACTTTCATCGTTTCACCAAAGAATTGATTTTTGTTCTTCAGTTTTTTATCCTGTTTTCTTCTATTGGATCTTTAGGGTGGTCTGGGACTAAGAACATGAGGATGATCTCTAATTATAACTGTGTACCTTAGATATGTATAAGCATGGAGTCACTGTATTCATGGAAAACATAAACTCATCTTTCACTACTATCCTATGTAGAATGGAAACATGGAGAATCCTTACTGTAATGGAATTGAGGGCATTTTAGAAGCATACCATCAAAGTCTGAAGACTGTGCAGCTGTATGGGCCAACAAACTTCGCGCCTGTGGTAAACCACGTTGCCAGGTGAGAGAACAATGCATCCCGATAAAACAACCTCATTTTGGTTCAAGTGAAACAGAAACAAGTAAATAATAGTAATCTGATCCCTGATTGACATAACTGTCCACTTCTCCCTTCAGTTAATCAAGTTTATCTTTGTCTAGCAGGTAATGAGATAAAACAATGTCAAGTTACATCAAACAAGCTAATTTGAACAACAAACCTATCATTGAGATTTCAGTTTTTCATCCTTTGATTGGTTAACTCTCTTACTTTTATAATGACTTATGTGTTATTTGAAAACTTATGGTCGATTTGATCTTTTTCAAGCATATAGCATATTACTCTTATTTTCAAACATTCCAACTTGTCAAAGTTAAAGTTAAATAAAAGAGAGTTTTTCACAGCTGGAATTATTTGACTTCTGCTTTTGATCTCCCTTAAGGAATATATGTCAAATCAGACAAAATAAACTGGCTGTGAGGTGCTTAAAAATGCAATTTGTATTGACTCACAGGGATCACGTGTATTTTACAGACCTGTAGTGCTATGCTTATAACTTACTCTAAGTATCTTATTGGATTGTTTTGGTAGTGATAATAACTCTCAAGTCTTACTGTCATTTTCTTCCATTGTTATTTTTTTATTTCATCAAGATTCAAACGATTCCGCATCTGATCTGAACTAGTGGTCTGACATGATGAAATATGTCTTTCTAATTAATTGGAATCTCAAATTTAAAAAAGCGTCAAAAAGCCACTGCTGTAAGACCACATAAACAAGTAAAATTTTGCATTTGAGTTGATGAGCCATGAGATGAGATCATAACAATTAAATGAAATCTTTAAATCAAACATTGACTGACAGACAATGTTTTACCCTTCACTGTTATGCCTAAGTTATCAGTCTATGTTCAGGAAGCATTGATAGTATGATCTAATTCTCTACATTGCTCCTATAGAGCCCATGAATAAAACACTTGGATTTTAAAGAGACAATAAAGAACCCTCTGATGTTTGATTCAATCTGTGTATGCAGATATGCAGCGGCAGTCCAGGATGGCTCTCAGTACTTTGTCCTCCTCATCATCACAGATGGCGTTATCTCAGATATGGCCCAGACCAAAGAAGCCATTGTGAATGTAAGAATGGGAACGTGGGATGGGACACTGTTTTTCTGGATCATGCATGCCGAGTCAGGTTCAGTTTAATTAGGAAACAACAATAAGGAAGTCAATGCTTCTGTATTAAAGGATGTAGTTCAACAAAACAAAACAAAACAAAAACAAGAGCACTCGATGCACAAAAAGACTGAAATCGTCACTCTGACATCCCCAAGTGGTTTGTGTGCAACAGTTTTAAAACGTCGAGTTTAGCATCTTTGCTGTCGTAGCTAAAACGTCTGTTAACAAATAAAAGACTTTGGTTCTGTTGATTTCCACCTGCCATGTGCTCCAGCTGCTATAATTTACAGGATATATCTTGGTAATCTGTGCAATCATGATGTTTTTAGCAATCATGTAAAGGCTCCATCGGTTGCCTGGTTGCTTCATTGCAACAAATAAAATAATTCAATGTTTTTACTTTGCTTTTCAGGGATCAAACTAAGCTAATATCACCAAATGGTAGCTCTTACTTTACGCCTACAGTGGAAAACTGAGTGGCATTATCTGAAAAACTTGTATCCATCATAACTGTCTATTATTAGTGAATTTGTGTTTTTACATTAATTAATAGCCCAAGGAAGCTGAATGAAATTAAAAAAGCTGGTGGTCCTGACAAAAGCTTTTTAAATTCAGTATAAGATAAATGGATTATTCGCTCATTGTTCATTACCTGCTTGCCTCCCTTGGCACGTGAGGCAAGCGAGAAAATAAATGTACTGCTAATTAGCTCTAGATCTCATACAGTCCTTTTCTGTTTGTGGTTGTCACATTAGTAAAGACACAGCAGGAGTCATGAAACCATACCAGCTGCTCTGTATGTCTAACAAAAGTACCAACATGAGAGATTCATTTAGCAAAACGTATTTTCCAAAATGAAAGCCTTTTTTTGTTCAAAACTACAAAGAACATGATGTTGTTGTTTTTTCTGTCCAATCAGCAAAATGTTCAGAAATGTTACACTTTTAAAGAAAGTACTTCCTCTGGATATGAAAAAAAGCACACATTTGTCATTTATTCCTCAGGGCTTTCTCTGCAACTAGTCCTCACTCCTCTTTTCCAGCTTGAAATAGCAGATGGCTGTCCTCCTTCCCTTCTTTTTCCTTGGTCTGTTTTTTCCTCTTCTTTTTGCCACTTCACTCCTCCACCTGCTCAGTCCGCCGCAGGCACAGAACACCCAGCAGACTGGATTTAAAGGGAATTTGCGACTGTTAGTCAAAACATTAGAACAGCCACACCTTCCTTTTAAGATCTTGCCTGCTGCGCTATCTCACTGCCTCCAGTCCTGTGGTCTACTGATGCTTGCCGCTTCCACTGCTATCTTTTTTTCTCTGAACGGGTTCTGGCAGAAGGAGGAAACTGTGCGGAGGTTATACAAAACTTCAAAACTATTCATGTTTTAAAGGTGTGTCAAGAATGACCGAGGAAAACAAAGAAATTTACGGCTCTAAACTCTGCGTCAACATTTCAATATTAATGTTTTTGATCAATGTAATTTTCATGGGAGAGAATTTTTGTCTGTGCACACGCAGTGGAACAGAGCAGGTTTATCAGTCACAACAGATTCTGCTACACTAAAGATACCGACCTGTCAATCACCCAGCAGCTTCCTCCTCTTCTCACAGCTTTGGTCCCTCTGCTGCATAGTTTTATTCCCTTCTTTGGAATATCGCTCCACTAATAAATACAAAGACTTTCTCTGTCTGTATGCATATTTTTGGCACTGAACGATCACTGGGTCTTCACCTGCTCTCTTTACCTCATTTTCTTATCATCACTCTATGTCAGAAACATTTTTTAAATCTTCCACTGCATTTTTTTTTCCTTTCATATCCGCACCGCCATCCATCTATGCTTTGTGTTTCATCACTTTAACTTCAGGGACACATCAACATGATTCTTGGTCAAATCAGAAAGCATTATACAAAAAATGTTACCATTCAAAGTGAAAATACACCTACAGAAGGAATGTGAGAGAACTTAATTTAAGAGTATTTGATTGTAGCTTTCCTGTTAGTTCACATGCATGATTTTGTTGCTGTGGATTGCATAGAAGCTGTTTGTAAAGGTACACTCATTCATTGATTTGGTCGACCAAAGGTAAGGTACAAAACGAGAAAAAGAGAACTTGGTCCTAATTTTAAATGATGTTTGAGCAAACTCTACAAGTTTTTATTTTGCAGCCTAATTGAAGTCAAGATAATGTCACTATGTGCCATTAATTTCCATTTCAGTCATATGGCATGCTTTGCTACCAATTATAAATGTCTTATAATAGCTCTAAATGGCTTACTGTAAAAAAAAATAAAAAAATAGAAGTGTTACGAATGTTACTTCCCAAGACATTTACACTTATCTATATACAAAATTACAAAATGTACTCTTAATAAGTGAATGGATGAACAGGTGCTAAATAAGACACTTATTCTGGCCACCCATACCGCCATTGAAGCAGTAACCGTGCCTTTTCTGCCATGACTGTCACATAATCTTCCTTCAGTGTCAGTCCACTTAACCATTTCATCTTCTCAGTTGCAGTGCTATGAACCACTACTTGAACAATATATACTCTCCCACTATGTCTCATATTCCACTGTTGCTTAGCAACCACACTTCCTCTTCCTCGTTCGTGTGTTAGCTCTTTACATAATTTGCTAACGTTATTATTAAACATGAGCATCAAACTAAGCATACCTCAACACTAGACACGATATCATTCATTTTATAGGTCCATCAACGATGCAAAGGTTGTTGGTCAAAATGAATTGCTGCTCATCCAAAAGCTTTTCTAATGAAAAGGCATGCCAATTTATTGGTTATTGGTGTTTTCCGGATCCAAACTATTCTCTGCAAATTGTACTGGAATTTTGAAAATCAATAGATTATTAAATCTCTTGCCCACAGACTTACTGTTGTTTTACAGCAAAGTTAATTCATACCAATATTGACCACTCAAGTAAAAAACTGAAAAGTTCCTAATGTCTGTGTAATGTTTGTCAAGATCTAAAATAAAGTTAAGTGCTGTGTGAACTTGCCAATTATGGAAAATGCTTGAAATGTTTGTGTTGTATTTTAAACACAGCCTTTGTTATGTAGAATGTGAAAACACTCCGTTTGGCAGCATCTTTGATTTTTTTTTTCTGGTCTAAAATAGAGTTCCAATGCAGATCATTTTCAGTGTAAAAAGACTCCATGGTCTTGGTATTTCTACAGAATCCAAATGTTGGTTGAAAAAGTTCTTTCAGATGTTATGTTCATAGTCTTTTCACTTCCTGTAGGAACAGAATTATGCCCTAAAATAGAGATGTGTCAAAAGCAAAAAAACATAATAAATGTTGAATCCAAGTTAAGGAAAATCTGGTGCAGATGCCAATGGTCTGAATTAGTTTAGTTTATCTTGAAAAGTATGGTTGGTTCATTAAACATAGAGGGCTTGCAGTTTTTACTAAGTGTCAGATCCAATTCTGACACAAAATTTGCAACCAACAGTTAATGTCTGCACTCAGGCAAAATTGGTTTTCAAGTATGCTTAAACCGCCTTTTGGCTGACCTCTGTCCAAGCACCCAAAGAGAGGTGACTCAGGTGCTATTGTCTCTTCTAGGTAAATACACATCCAGCTAATTAATTTTTGTGCCTGTACCCATCCAGGCTAATACATGCATGGCATCTGACTTCAAGAAGCACACAAAAATGTTGTTGTTGGGGTGTTGATTCATGTTTTGTTGTGTTGTCTCATTAGATTAAATCTCTTCTGCTCGACAGGATGACAAGACGATGGCAAAAGTGGGGCATGGTGGAGTGCCAGTTTATTTTTGGTGGCAACTGATGTTCTGATGTGAGTGGGTGTTTGTCTACTGCAACGCACACACACATGGATGTCTGCGAATGTGAGCGTGTGCACGAGTGTAGGAGGACAAGTACTGTCAGGAGTTGTGTTGAACACTGATAATCACATAAATGTATTGTTATGCTGCTGAGGAAGCGTCGATGGAAACGCTCTCAACAAGCAGTGAGGGCTTGTGTAGTGTGCCAGTGCAGTGTGCAAGACCTAACCCAAACATTAAGACTGATAAATAAATACTATCTGCACAAGTGTGCGAATCACATAGAATGAAATATGTAAAATGGTTGAAGAGAAACATGAGATGTCAACTCATCTTGAATTAATTGACTACAAATCTTTGAAGAGGTGGAGTATGAAAACACAGATGGAGGAGAATTTTGTTATTCATTTGGCTAATTGGCAACAGGTAGGTAATTTGATTGGTAAAAAGCACCTTAGACAGAGTATCTAAAAAGTGAAAAAAGGAAGAGAAATTGTGTGAATTAGAATCAATTGTGCTCTAATGACTTAGATTTGATTAAATTATGATTGCATTACAACCAATTAGATTACACTAGATATGAGCTTGTTCGTCCTTACATAAATTAAATTGAGCTGAATTATGCACGTTACCAAAAACAACTTATGGAGCAATTTCAAAATGATGTTTCTCCACAGGAAGTTGCAAAGATAAAATTGTCCATCATATACTGAACATGATTTGTTAGAAAGATCAAATGATTTAAAATAGTCTCAGTCAGGTAAGGAGATGAATTTAGAAGAAAAAAAGAATGAGGGGAAAAAGAAGTGGGATCATCATAAAAGCATCACTGATGATGAGGCGTACACTCGGGCTTATGAAATATACATTTAAGGGCTAAAGACAGTTATTTCCAGTCTATAAGGTGCTACTTTTTTCACATGTTTTGAATATCCATCCATCCATTATCGTAACCGCTTTTTCCCTAAGGGGGTCGCAGGGGGACTGGAGCCTCTCCCAGTAGTCAGTGGACGAGAGGCGGGGTGCACCCTGGACGGTCCACCTGTCCATCGCAGGGCCACACAGAGACACACAAGGACAAACAACCACGCACACTCCCACTCACTCCTAAGGGAAATTTGGAATGTCCAATCAACCTAACATGCAGGTTTTTGGATGGTGGGAGAAAGCCGGAAAACCCAGAAAGAACCCACGCAGATACAAGGAGAACATGCAAACTCCACACAGAAAGTTCCTGGTTCCCCCGGGGACTTGAACCCAGAGCCCTCTTGCTGTGAAGCTGTGTGGTCAGAGGTCTGAAAAGTGATATGTATAAATCAAGAGACATAAAGTACCAATATCTAAGGACTAGAAGACCGGAACCCATTTAAAACTAATTGTGTTTTAATAAAGTTTTTATTTGGTATATATGTAGATTTCTATTTGCTGTTTTAATTGTTCTATTGTTTCTTAATGCAGCCTTGGTGTATATCTTTTTACAGAAATGCTACCCCTGAATGACCTCATGACCACATCAGTGGTGTGCGTCTTGGGATTTGGACAGTTTTGATTGAATGTATCTCTTAAACCAGTGTTCCTCAATCCTGATTCTTACTTGCCCTGCAAGTTTCCCAAATGTTTAGTTGAGAACTTTTTTTTCCCATCTAACAGAGTGTAAACACAACCCAACTTTTCAGAATTTGTGTCATATATTATGATCAGGTTATTTTTTCGTCTATGTTTGACTTTTGATCAAGTTCCTTCCATCTGACTCACGGTGGAGCTTGGGAGTGGTTGGGAGGGTAAATGTGGACGGTTGCTGTTTGCCCGAAAGCTGGCACGTCCTCCCCTCCATCTTCTCCTGGCTCATCCATCTGCTGCCATGTTAAATTAGTCTGTTGATAAATTTGGAAAGATCAACTGGCTTTTATTGTTTTGTCAGCACAGTTCATTTAAATCTCAAAATTTCACATTTTTGTGCGGAAATAGCTTATATGAGAAACTACCTATGGTTAGAATTATTGTGTTGTGTATGATAACACCCTCCCACCTCTACAGTCTAATAACCAGCGTTGACAGTGCTGTTCCTGGAAAAGTGATAGGTTTGATTCATATGACAATAATATGGATTCATGGTAATGAAATAGCTGTAAAAAAAGAAAAAAGAAAATTTTTAAGAATTCTTTCCCCCATATCTAAATGACACTGCATCAGTCTCTTCTTTTGGTTGTATAATGGCACCCTACAACATTACTGCAGTTTTAGTCCATGCCGATCAGCACATAGCTATTAATGTCATTAAAAATAAGTAGGAAATTTGAGTAGGACACGCTTCAAGATAATAATAAAAAACTGTTTTATTATTTTAATTTTTATCTCCTCAATTCTGATTTCTCCACAGGCTGCCAAGCTTCCAATGTCCATTATAATAGTTGGAGTTGGTCAAGCTGAGTTTGACGGTATGATATATTTTTTTCTTTCTCTCTCTATGTTAGTGTAGAAGTAAATGTATAGTATAATTGTACAAGTATTCCTGTTTTTTTCGCGAGTTAAGTGTACAGCCCACATACTTTGAGTGATTTTAACAAGTCGCTTCTGGTCCATACTGAAAGGGCGCAATTGTCAACCTTAAGGCAAGTTTTTTTTATCATGGCACCAAAACTAACAAACTGAAAACACAGGAGCTGTTATGACTGATACACATTCAGTAACATGTGATGTCTACATGAATCAGGTGTTCTGCTTGACATTTTGACAATTCTGTCCTTTTACCTTCTCCATGCAATAACATCTTCAGCTGTTTTCTGATCATTTAAAATCATTATTCTGTCTGTGTTTCTCTTTTCCATTTAATATCAGTGTTGTCGTGATTCATTTGATGTTAGAGCTTGTTCATGAGTACTCTTCATATCTGTGTTGAAGTGATTTTAACCTGACACTTTTCCTCTGATACAATCCAACATTCCTGTTTAGTTGGCATACACATTACTTATCAGCCTTTCAGAATGACTCAGAAATCCAAGGGCTTTCACTTATTTTTTTTCTTCTTCCCTTCCAATGTTTTCCTCAAATTGTTCAGCTTCTTCAATGTCTTCTGGTTCAGTCTGTCAGCAGATCACTGATCTCATTGTTGATTCGCAGGAACAGCTTTTTCTAGTGTAACTGGAAGTTCTTCCACTAACTTTTTAAACAAGCTGTCAAAGGGCACCGAGAGGGAAACATTCTTTGTGACTGTTAGCCTGATGTTTTGAAGCCATTGATGCACGTGCAGATTTTTATACTTAATTTGTTATACAACCATTTGCAGGTCAAATCAATAAGTCAGTTATAAAACGAGCAGTGTACCAACTTTCCGTAGAGCAAATAACAAACTCCCTACGCCTCCAAAAAATAAGCCCAATTTAACCTCAATGTGTCTTTGGTATCTTCCTCGGTGAGAAGGAGGAAGACTACGATTTCACTACACACTAAGTATTTGTACTCCTCACACCTATCTGCTGCAATTAGCTGGTGTCTGCTTGCACTCCCAAGGTTGCAGCTGAAAGATGAACCACATACAAGCAAACAATATCACCAAACAGGGTGAAAACAAGTTGGTAAAAGATTTCTCTGCAGACAAATATAGCCTACTGCCACATTCAAAAGGGTCATTAGCCTTTTTGTTAGCCATTAAGAATATTCTCCTTACCATACTTTAAAAAGATTGAAACATCAATAACAGACTCCATGTCAATGGATATAGCACTGCAAATGTTTCTGGGACTAATTCACAGATAAGATTACAACAAAAGCTCATCTGAGTCAGGAAGGAAGGGGATATGTTGGTGGATGCAGGCATGATTGTGGAACCACTGAGGTTAATTGCTGGGTTTTCAGTGTTTAGTGTTGATGGTTTTAAATTGCAAAGGCTGTAATAAAGGGCTTACTAACAGATTAGACCTCCAAACGTGCTTGTTTAGCTCAACATCTTTTTTGGATTTACTTACACCAAAAGAGTGCATGGGTGGCATGTGTGAAAACTAAATCTTAACACAATAATCATCTTAGTCTGTTCTAAATGCTGTTGCCTTTGCTAAGTTATCCCCCTGTGTGTGTGTTCTAGCTATGGTGGAACTGGATGGCGATGACATCAGGATTTCATCTCGGGGGAAACTGGCAGAAAGAGACATTGTTCAGGTGACAGTCTAGACCAGTAGTAGTTACTCTGACCCAATCCCAAGCCACTGTCCCATAATTCTGACTTTTTAATGTTAAGGTACCTTTTTCCCTTTTGTGCATGAAGAAACAGTGGTCGTCTCTCCATTCAAATGGGATGTTAGTGGCTATTTACATGAAGAGGTGACCATGGGTTTTTCATTGGAAACTTGAAAATAAAATTAATCTGACTTTTTTTTTTCATATGCCTAAGTTGCCTGGAAAAGGGAAGGAATTGTTTCTTTGACTATATTTAAATAAAACGAGACTTGAAAGAAGAATTTGGATTAGGATTTACTTTATCTGCATGCATGTTATCATGGTAAATTAGAAAAACAAAGATGACTTGAGAGTCTGTTTCTAAAACACCGGATTTGGATTGCAATTTATGGGCTATGGTACTTCCATTATCCATTACTTCACATTTGCATTTCACATTAGCTGATGTGCTTGTACGTTGAAACACCATCTGTTAGTACTTGCAAATGAGGACCTAAAAGTAGTTCTTATAAATTCCCGTGGGTACGAGAATGCCAAATGTTTGATTTTAAGTGTCACTCTTCGGTACCTTATGTGTATATACAAACCCCCGTCAAGCTGTTTTAAACTACTGGGAGTTTTCATCTGTATCAATCTGTGCTGGATCTTAGTAAATGTATACTAATGGCATTTACAGTAAAGGTGGCTTGATGCCACCTTAGGTCCTCAGTTTTCACACAAAAATTAGTATTCTGAGGAAAACCACACCACGGCATTAGTGAAGGATGACCATATTGTGGTTGTAAAATCCAGAAAATATTGACAAACTTTAAACATGAGGCTCCATGATTTCTGAATTTAAAGAATATCATAGAATAATATCAAGAATATCGTCCAGAAATTGATATTTTGTTGTACAGGCAAAACCACATGATTTTTAATGGCACTTTTTAGGTATTTGAAAATGTTAAAAGTACATTGTAATCATTCTTATATTGTTTATTCTTTTCCTCAGTTTGTTCCTTTTAGAGATTACATGGACCGGACAGGTAACCACGTGTTAAGCATGGCACGGCTCGCTAAAGATGTGCTCGCAGAGATCCCAGACCAGTTTATCTCCTACATGAAGAGCCGGGGAATCAAACCCAATCCTGCACCACCTCCCTACACACCACCCGGACACACACACCACCACACACAAATTTAGGGCCCTCCTCTTGGCTTTTCACTGAGGACTGACAGCATGCAGCAGCCTCTCGGAGTCCATTGGGAACTCTCTACCTCCTGTTTTTTGGTGTAAATAGGAGATGGCACATGAAATGGTTGTTGAATTATGTGCTGTACCTGACCAGTGACTACAGGAGCAGTATTTCTTTTTTTGTTCTGTTTGTTTGTTGGCTTCTTCTGTGACATGTTCAATTGTAGTCTCTCTCCAGGTGAGACTGACCAAATTTTTCAGGACTTGTTGGTGATAGCCTTTTGGGCAGTGACTGTTTCACATCTATGATTTGACGGCAGGTTGGTTTGAAAAGGTCATGTTGTGGTTAAAACTTGTGCCTGTCTGTTGATGTTTCTCTAAGTGTATCAGGACGTGTGAACTTTGACACAAGCCTTGCTCGTCAGTCATTGGTGTGGCCTAATACAGTGACATTTTTTAGCACCTTGTTTTTATATAAGGGGATTGTCCCCACATCTGTTAATACAGCACTTATGATGCCCTCTATCCACCAACCCCTCCTGTATCTCAAAAATAGAATTGTTTATACGAGCATGTTGAATGACAATTGAAGTATGATGTGTCAGCATATATCCTCAAATGTTATTCACAGTGGCATGACCATTTGATTGACTTTAAACACCATTCAACCTAATTCACTTTATAATGGTCATAAGTATGTAACTGCACAAGAAAAGCACAACTCTATAGCCATTCTAGTTATGATTAATCTACTAATTTAATCATATTCTCTCTTTCTGAGTGCTGCTATTCATTCATTTTGAGAAAAGTGTGCTTGTGCAGATATTTTTTTTTTCAGATTCTTCAAAACTCCTAATAAAGGAATTCACTGAAACGGTTGCAGTTAAGATACTCCAGGTGGAACACATTTCAATCACAGATAAAGCTGCACATGAATAGCTTGAAGTACTATCATTGTTTTAAAATCCCTATAATTCTCACATCTCAATATTTCATTTTTAATAGAGTAATTCCAAAATCAATTAGCACAATGATAAAACACAGATCGTGCAAGATGTACAAGACCTTCAGAAGAATAATGACCAACCAGACAAAGTTTGAGGCCTCTGTGTGGCAAATATATTGAGGTACTTTTATTAATTGCCTTTTTATGGTAACTGTGAAAAGACTACCAGTGTTACTTCATGTATGGGCTGACATTTTACACCAGCCAACTGACACACAGCAGACATTAGGTCAATTAGGTGGGCTGTAACTATTTTTTATGCTCTAATGTCAGGTTGTGCAAGGTCCAAATCTATCCCTGTTTCAGCACCTATAGAGTGGAGACATTTCTACTGAAATGCCACTGGTCACACATCAGCAACCACATGACTTTTGTGGTCAAAAGCCATCCCTTAGAGATATTCCTTCAAGATAGAGCTGTCCTTCCTGTAATGCATGACTGGATTCTGGTGGCCAGTAGCTCAAAAATTGGTCTCCAGAGCTTCAGTTCTGTAGATGAGATTTTTTTTTCCTCCCATGTATAAAACATGCTAACATCCTGTCTGTGCCACAGGATATGGAGGGATCTGCTTTTTTCTAAACCTGTAGTTTGGCTGTTTGGAGTTTGAAATGATTTTACAGCATCGTAAACAAAGCCTGCAATTTCAGAGGCTGCTAAGATTTGGTTTGTTTTTAGAACATCGTTTGCTTTACTGCCAATGGTAGTCACTGACAGTATCACTCACCACAAGGACACTGAGCTCGTATAGTGAGGAGTTGCACACCTTAGGCTCTTTTCTCTTCTTCTACTTGGTCATTTATTTTTGCAGAAGTAAGGTGCCTTTTTTTATCGAGAAATTTGGTCAACTTACCATCCAAATGCCCACAAAAAACCCAACTGAAGGGCTTGATCACCATAAATATCTGAAGGTAAATGTTCTTTTTAGCTCTGCAAAATAAAAGAATATGGTACATTGTAGGTCCAAGGGGGATGAATTACAGTAGTACTTCAAATAACAGAAAATGTTTTGAGGACAAGTTTGGTACAGGCATGTTTCCAGTTTCTTTCATTTTGAGTTTGAGCTTTGATTTAAGACCCAAGGCACCCTCCATATATGGCAAGCTTATATGCTGTATGTGGTTTTAGCAGGTAAAATACACTCCTTCACAATGTCATGCCAGCACTTTGGGTTATAATAAGGAAATGTACTATTTCACCAGATTTACTCATTAAAAACTGATGCACAGAGACTCCCCATGTCCTGACAAAAGAGCAGCATCAATTGGCTAAGGGAAGTGTCATTAATACTCAAAAGAAGTGTTCAGAGAAATTAAAGTCATCATTTGTGTTCTATGCAAACGCATCCCAAAATGTTCTAACTCTACAAGAAGTAATTGTTGTTTTTCAAACAGCTATATTTCCTGTATTCTTTTTTATTTTTGTCTTGCGATTCCACATAAATTGTGTCTGTTGTTCTCTGGCAGAACAGTGTGGGGGGGACTCTGCAGAGTAAATTCAAAACAGCAGTTCATTAAATCAGCGTTACCAATTGAAAAGAAAATATATTGACTGGCAATGAGACTTGTTTAAGTTAAAGCTGATATAAAGTTTAAACTTTGGCAGAGAGTAATCATGCAGTCTGTATGGTAAAATGGAAAAAAACAACACCGAACGGATTACCGTTCATTGGGATTATTCAAAGGAGGTAAATTTAGAATATAAATTATTCCAGTTTGAGCACTGATTACATGTTTAGCATTTTTCCTTTAATTTATCTTTAATGTCTATTCAGATCCAGATCTGAATCCAGATCTAGATGGAGTTTTCTTTCTTTTTTCAATTCAACCATCTTGGCAGAGGAACACAGTCTTGGCTGTTGTCCTATTTTTAGCTGCACTTGCCTGAGATGGGAATGTAGGTCAGTCTAACACTGGAGTATCTTGGCAACAACTTCCTGTCACCTCCCAACATCTTTTTCAGAGTTTGATGATTTCTCAAGTACTCAAAGCTATAATTCAATTGACTTCCGTTGGATCAACATTTATATTTTTTCAACACTTTTGTTTGAGACCAAATACATGCTAATCAGCTCTGCAGGTATTTTGTAACCTGGTCTAATGAGATCATGACCTCTTGCAATATGTGAGTTTTGGGGCAGAATGTGTTTTGGCTATGGTCAAGTGCCCACAACACAAACACCCAACCATTGTTTGTTTTTAGCTCTGGCATAGGGGGAACACAAACTTTCTCATTCAACTAAGGTAGCAATGGGTTTGGGAGATCAATACAGTTTTATTGCAATCAAGATGTATAACAATAATTAACCCAATGCCATTGAGATCAGATGTTTATGCCCCTGTATCCTGTTCAATGCTCTCCTATCGCATAAGGTTAGAGCTCCAGTATTATAAATTTCTCCCCTTCACAGCCAGACGCTGTACCCGTCTCACTCTCACAGTAGCCGATAGTCACCTCGTAGAGTAAGTAATAACTTATTACTATCAATTCATAGTAATGACTCAAGTTTAAAACTTCATATTTTTTTCTGGGAACAGACTTTTTAATAACACAACCGACAAAGAATTGAAAAAAATCTTTGTAGAAAAAGCCTTGTTAAAGAGTTTAATGTAGCAAACTGTAAAGGCCTTAATGATCTGAGAGGCAGTCATTCCATCACATTTAAGGCTATACTGAGAAGCAATTAGGATGAATGAATGATAGTTTTTTGTGTAGGAAAGACTGGAAAACAATGCATTTGTTAATTTCTTGTGTTTTGTAATAGAGAAGTCAGATAAGAGAAGGCTTCTGTTAGAATGCTAAGGGAACAGTAACAGAAAGACAGTTAGGAAAGAGATACAATTAACAAGGAAATTCCCTTAAGCTGTTACCTTACCATCTTTCTGCCAGAGGTTTTTATTTGATACACAAGACTCATCATCCATGTGACTGAGGTGTGAATTCCAACTTAAGCCATTTTGTTCTGACAAATTAATGAACTGAAACTTTTAATAACTAAATCTTTATCTTTGCAGTTGTGATAGGTTTGAGCAACAGAGTAGCTTCAGAAAGGTCTGAGGTTTAGCTTGAAAAAGAGCTTTTTCCTACAGTAACTACATATGAGGCTTTCTACCAGAAAAAAATGAATATATAAATAATGCATTTGGCTGAGAGCCTTGAAGAGAAACATTTCCCAGGAGCCATGAACACTTAATCTTTGCGATGAGCGCTTATTGTAAATCTTTGATTTATTTTTTTGAGAATATTACTGTATGAAAAATATCTACTGATTATTTTGGAAATTTATGATAAGCCATTTCTCCTGTTGTTAATCTTTTTCAGGCCCTGATTTCTAACTATGTTAATCAACTGCATGTTTTCTTCAGTCACAAGAGTGTTTTACACAGAGTGCCACCATATGTGAAAACAAATGGGCCCCAGCCATTTGGACTACATGCATTTCTGTGCCAAACATGGCAGTTAACAGTGGACTGTGAGCTATTTCTTCTCTTTTGTGCCTGGTTTCCAAAATGTTTCCTTTCTCATAAGTGATTTGAAAAAAGAAACTGTAGCGATTTTGCATGTTACAGTTAATACATTTTGTTATCTGTTTGTCATTTTGGTCTGATTCCGGTTGATCTTTATTGTTTAGATTTTTTAAGTTTATCATTTTGCATGACTCCCTTCTTTACATTTCAAGGGTTTTTAATTGTACATGACTATTGTCATATTGGTGGGTTGTGAAATGCTTTGTATTGGATTGCCTTAAATAATAATTATTAAAAAAATGACTACTTTTATAAAAAGCTTGTGGAGAGTTTGCTTTAATGCCAGCTTTGTAATTTTATGAGCTAAGCTTAGCAGGGACGGAGAAAATCTAGCTGCATGTTGCTTTTGAGTGGACAGAACCGTTAAAAAATCAGTCATTGTACCAACATACATTGTGCAAAATATGAGAATGAGCTACTGACACACGTAATGTGCACAAAGAAAATGATGGACAGAATAAAATTAATAATCCAGCCATAAAAATGTAATAAAAATCATATCCATATGCACTTTAATGTAACAGAACGTATTAATGTTGTGCAATGCAAACATACAGCAACCTTTCAACAATGGTTCAGATTTAATTACTGTAATTATTAATGTTTTTCCCATCATTACTGTTTTAATTTAAAAATAAAAAAACTGAAAATGAATACTAGTTATAGTCCACACAGGATTTGCTCTTTGTATGAGTGACTGTTGGTAAGGGGCTTATCCCATTCCCACAGTGTGTTTTTATAGCAATTTATTTGAAAAGAAAAAGAGGGATGTTTCATTAACCATTTGAATGGATTAAGTCATTTGAAGAATTAAATATGGCTCGAAACCATAAAAATAAACATTAAAAAATTGCCCAAAAAGAACTGCCTTGCATGCTTAATTAACATGGGCTATGTCCCTATGTTGAAAGTTAACATAAAGATTGGAAAATTACATGTGTCTGCTTTTATCAATTTAATTCCTGCCAAGTTTGGCAGGAAATTTAGAAATATTTTCAGTCCATGTTCCATGTTTTTCCATCTTAAATGATTCCGTTTGTATTGTGCAATATTACTTGCTGTAAAGGTTTTAGTTGGTGACAGCTGGTTTAAATCTTATCAGCCTAACCAGACCAAATGTGAAGCAATATGTTTATTGCTGCTGCTCTCAGCAAGGTTGGTGACATCCATTCACGAAGACCTGCCTGGTTATTGTGAGATCGTCATAAACATTTGCAGACAGTCCGCTCATTAAATTCCAGAGAAAGCTCTCATTACTAAATCAAGTCACTCTATCTTTGAAAAGTCTGGCACTTACCCGAACATCACTGGTCACCTTTCAAGAGGGATTTTCTGTCTGAAGAAGCCATACTTGAACATCCTTTAGATATTTCAGAAGCATTTTCAGTTTCAGAGTCAAGAGGAAATAACAAGGTGCACAGAGCAGTCATTTCATTAAAGTTTTGAAATAATCTTCTGCCCAAGTAACCACATCATACAATGTCAGAGTGAAAGAGCTAGATAGATTGACATTATTGAGCATCAGTGGTTTTCTCTCGGATGCTTTCTGTATAGTACATTTCATATTTGTAGCTCTAAAATGATGACCTTTGCATGAAGAGACACAAGGCTTTTTCCCAAAGCAGCACCTGTAACACAGCGGATAAACAAATTGAAAATAAATGGCCAACCAGCAAAAGTCATTAATCCCCTTCTTCTTCCTCCTGCGCACTATAACCACTAAAGTCACCGAACTGTTGTTGGACTGACTGGAGTGAGCGATCCTCTTCATCCAGCCCCAGTCCAGCCTTACCCTGGAGGCAATTATGTTTTTTTGGGAGGCTAAATATTTTTTAGGTATAAAGGTCATACTCTAATTTACGTTGGTGAAACATATGTGGCCACCAAACATCAATATATATGTATAGTGGGAGTGAAAGTTTTCCTTTGTTGTATTATTTAGCCACTTTGGAAAGTTTTAATAACTCTGTTATTTTGGGGGAACAATTTCTCACCCGAGAACAGATGAGAACATCAAATTTAAAGTGCACAAAAAACAGGTGTTCAATAGATGACTGGAAACAGTTTGACTCAGTGAGCTCTCTCAAAAGGGAAAATAGATGCCCACAAGACCATAAATGTGAGTAAAAAATAAACAACCATAAAAGCCCATAACATATCAGAACAGTTTTTTTTTAGACACAATAAATCTGGAGATAAAATTTTAATTCAGTACACCAAACACTTGAGAAAAAAAGATCCTCTTTGCCTAAAGCTGAGGGAAAAACATTAATTTTCCTCTTCCCAGACATTTTCTGTGTACATCTGTCTATATAATAATTTTGAGTCTTGACTGGGAAGCTGTCATCATCCTTGCTATGTCTGACAGTCCAAGTGGGTACATTAAGATCCGTTGTGACTAAACTCTGGATAGTCACCCAGCTAAAATGTATTTTAGAGCTAAATCTTTATTCTGTGTGTTTTTCTTCATTTCCTCTAACATTTATAGGAGT